CCGGGGGGGCCCCCCCCCCCCCCCCCACGTCTACGATATGAGTGCCTTTTTGGCAGCGGTTTCAGAAGGCTCGCCGGGCCCCGGCTATCTCGTCTTCCCGGCTCAGCTCGTATGGTTCGAGCGTTCGAGCCAATCGTCGCGCATCCCTGTCACAAGTGGTTTCGGCAGACCCCAGGGTCGCACTTCTTTTTCTTCTGGTGCAGAGTGTCGCCATCCGTAGGCGAGCCTGCAACCTCGTGTTCCTGCCGGCCCGCTTCTCAACAAAGTTCTCTTGGACCCTCGACCCCGGCTGTCTCCGCAGCCTTGTATCCAATCAGAGGCTACCTGATCACCAGCCCGATGCGACCCTGACAGCGCTGTCCTGCACGCACATGCAGGTGCCCCCCGGCCAGATTGAACGTTTCAGTGCAACAACCTGCACGCTCATCTCATCTCAGCGTCCGCGAACCGTGCTGCACCAAGTATCCTCGCATTTGCCGGTTTAGTGTAGCCTCGTGCAACATACTGCTCGAGCTCCCATCTCCTTTGCATACAATGAGCAGCCAATAGAGATAGGGACGGCATCTAGAAGCCCAGCCCGTCGAGAACCAACTTCGAGCACTTCGTACCAGCACAACCACGGCCCGTCAAGACCGTCCGAAATGCGGCGCCAATCACATAGATCCGCACCACCGCAAGCCACACTTCGCTTGGCCTAGCTAATCCGCCGCGCGCTCGGATCTCAGCCTCCCGCATGGGCTGCTCGGTTTGCAACAACTGTGACCTTGCCCACGCACGTGGTATCAAACATGAGCAACCACCTAATCTGCGCCTCCTCTGCACAACTGCCACACGACCTGGTAAAAGATTGTAATTCCCGACTCTTGACAGTGTAGACTCCTGTCGGATGGTCGACAGCTACGATGCGCCCAGCAGATCGGGCTACCCGATCAGACGCCCTCCAATTCTCCGAGATGGATCGACGCCACGCCTTCCGCATGCCTTTTTTCGGGACCCCGCGCTCGGGCCAAGGACGGCGTTTCTTCCATTTCAGGTACGGGCGACCCACGACGCAGGATCGACCATCTCCCAAGCACCACATTTGCCCTCAACATGCTCGCAAAACACTCGCCCAAGCCGTCCAAGGATCGGCGCCCGAATCGATCACATCCTGATCGCAACTCTGCGGCTGAATACGACCCCAACCCTCGCTTTCGACGCGAAAAGTCAACACTTGACTTGACCGGCGTGTGGGACTTTGCTGCCGACGACGACAACTTTGGTCTCCAAGAGCGCTGGTACGAGCCCGGAAGCTTCCCCAGGTCCCAGCAGGAAATATTTGTGCCGTACACGTGCGAGACGAGCGCATCGCAGCTGTCGGACCGGCGCCAGCACAAGATTGTTTGGTACCGACGCGATGTCTTTCTCGCCTCGGACTCAGACACTATCCAGTGGTCCGAAGCCCGGAAGCACCGCTACTTTATCCACTTTGGTGCTGTAGACTACGAGAGCACTGTATGGATCCAAGGCCACATGGTGGGTAGCCATGTCGGTGGGCACACTCCCTTTTCGTTCGAGATCACCGAGCATGTGTGGCGCCTGCACGACGACAACGCTTCTTCGTCGCTCGAGATCGTGGTGCGTGCCAAGGATGCGCCACAAGACATGTCGCAGCCGCGCGGCAAGCAGTACTGGAAGCAGAACCTCAAGGGAGAGTATCAGCCCGTAAGCATCTTCTACACGCCCACCACGGGCATCTGGCAGGACGTCTACCTCGCGCGTCGTCCGCTCAAGCACATCCGCAGCGCGCAGTTCGTGTGCGACATCGACGCTGGCACCGTGCGCGCCGAAACCGAGATCGATCTGCTCCACACCGTCGGCACCGAGCTAGCACCGAACTACTGGGTGCAGTTTATCGTCAAGTTGGGTCGACGGACGATATCCGTATGCAAAACGCGCGTCAGCCGACAGACCGACAGCTGCTCGGCTGTGATCAACGTGCGACAGGCGGGCGAGCAGCCAGAAGGCCCGATGCGCACGCGCCTCGTCACGCCAGGCGTGCTACCACCTGAGATGAACCGCGACCGATGGGACAACGGCCTGGCTCTTTGGTCGCCCGAGAGTCCAAGCCTGTACACCGTCGAAATGCGGCTGCTTTCCGACGACTCGGAGGAGGACCGGGTGCAGAGCTACTTTGGCATGCGCAAGGTCTCGATCGACGACCAAGGCCGCTTCTGCCTCAACAACCGCGTCTACTTTCAGAAGCTCATCCTCAACCAGGGCTACTGGCCCGAAGGCGGCATGACGACGCCCTTCTTTGACGGCTATGCCGACGACATCCGCAAGATCAAGCAGATGGGCTTCAACGGCGTCCGCATGCACCAGAAGGTCGAGTCGCCCGAGTTTCTGTACGAGGCGGATCGGCTAGGACTGCTGGTGTGGGGCGAGATGGCCAATGCGTACGAGTTCAGCACGACCTATCTGGAACGATTCACGCGCGAGTGGATCGAGGTGGTGCGACGAGACATGTCGCATCCGTGCATCGTGGTGTGGGTGCCGATCAACGAGTCGTGGGGCGCTCCTGCGCTCAACACGTCGGCACAGCAGCGTGCCCACCTCGCCTCGCTCTACCACCTCACCAAGGCACTTGATCCAACACGACCCGTCGTCGACAACGACGGCTGGCAACATGTAGCGACCGACCTGATCACGGTGCACGACTACCGCAACGCCAACGAGCTTGCCAAGTCGTTCTCGAGCCGCGAGCAGGCGCTGCAGGAACGTGTACCTGGCTTTCCCATCCTGCTTGGACCGCTTGCACAGAGCGAGGAGCGCTACCGATTGCCGCTGCTGTGCACCGAGTTCGGCGGCCTGGCACTGCGCGTCGACAACGTCGGCACCACAGCCAAGGGCGTCGACTGGGGCTACGCCAACGCTTCATCACAAGCCGACTTTCTCGAGCAGTTTGAAGCTCTCGTACACGCCCTCACACGGCCTTCCTCCGGTGCCGAGTCTACTCGCCTCGTCCAGGGATTCTGCTACACCCAATTCGCCGATGTCGAGCAAGAAGTCAACGGCCTGCTCACCAAAGACCGCACATTCAAGATCCCACCAGCCAAGATCAAGGCCATCTTAGACGCCATCTAGACGCTTGCTGTGTCCGTCACAACTCGGCCAATCAGTCTCGCGGGCGGCGACTGTAACAGTGTTGGAGAGAAGAGGTCGAAAATATACAGGTGGCGCGTCACGAAACGTGCAATGCTTTAGGCAAAGCCCGCGCTTGGTGTGACCGGTTCGAGGTGATGTGTATGTGTGTGCATGTAAGGGTGGGCGGTCGGCAGTTAGGCGCTGACCTGCCCGGCCTCGGCGGATGGTGCTGGTGCTGCGGGGGCGACGGCGTCGTCGTCGTCCTTGATGCTGCTCTTGGCGAGCATCTTTTCGACCTTTTCGATGTTTTCGCGCGTGACGCGGGCCTGGTTCGAGACAAAGTACTGCTTCTTGAGCTTGAGGTTCTCGACGACGCGGCCAACGTCGGCGGCGTTGGCGGGTGGAGGGATGGAGAGCGCCAGGAGCGCCGAGAGCGTGCCGAGCGGCACGTTGAGCTTGTCGCCGCCGGCAGCAGGCGCGCCTGCCGAGTTGTTCTCGTCGGCGAGGTCGAGCGGAGTGCCGCGCTTGCTCCTTCCTTTGGGCTTGCGCGCCTTGGCCGAGTTGCCGGCAAAGTAGGTCTCCTCGTCCTCGTTCTTCTGACGCAGCACGGCACCCTTGGGCACCATGGAGTCCTGGTTGACCTGGCGCAGGTTGAGCGCCTTGCCGCCGATGGCCTTGGCGGCGTTGCTGGCGGCGTCGTCCTTCTTGGCGTCTTCGGCGGCGGAGGAGGAGCCCTTGGAGAAGTAGTTGATGAGCACGTCGCAGTCCTCGATCTCCTTGGAGAAAGCGGGGAGGGCGGCGTCCTCGCGGAGCTGCTGCTCGTGCTCCTTGCGCTTCTCGGCCTCGTGGGCGGCGCGCTCGTCGCGCTGCTTCTGGATGCGTCGTTCGCGCTCCTGGTTGAGCTTCGCGTAGAAGGTGTCGTTGGCGGCGCGGAAGGCGGCCTGGCGGTCGCGGCGCGACTGGTAGAGGGCGTCGAGCTTTGCGGAGAGCTGGGTGCGCTGGTCGAGGAGCTTGCCGCGCGAGCCGGCCTGCTTGTCCTGTTCGGCCTGGATGGCGTCGAGCTCAGCCTTGATCTCGTCGTAGCGCTTGTTGAGCGCCTTTGCCTCGGGGCTGTCGAGGGTAGACTTGAGCTGGTCGACCTTGGTACGGTCGGCGTCGATCTGGGACTGGATCTGGTCGAAGTTTTCGACGGTCTTGCGGTTCTTCTTGAGCTGGGAGATCTCGCTGAGCGCCTTCTTCTCCTCGACGAGCTTCATGGAGCCGGACTCGACGAGCTGTTCGAGGCGCTGGATGCGGGAGTCGACGTCTGCCGTGCTCTTGTAGGGGGTCTTGGACTTGGCATGCTGGAGGTCCTTGATCTTCTTGGAGATGGAGTCTTGGAGGGTGCGAAGGTCCTCGAGCGTCTTTCCACGTGCGCCCTTGGAGCCGGCCTGCTGGTTGCGAAGCTGGTCGAGCTCGCCACGGAGCTCTGCGCGGCGAATGCCTGCGGGCGAGTCCTTGGAGGGGCCTGCGCCGGAGAGGAGCGAGCGAACCTGGTTGAGCTCCTTCTGAACGGCGTCGATGTCCTTTGCGAGCTTGTCGAGCTCGGCGGTGTTGGCGGCGGGGTCTGGCTTTCCTCCAGCCAGCTTGGCGATCTCGACGGCGTCAGGGTTGCCTGCGGGGCGGTCGTGGGTCTTCTTTTCGGCACTGGTAGCGGCGGTGTTGCCGTTGCCGTTGGCGGCGGGCTTGGCTGCGGTAGTGTCTGCCATTGCGACGAACCTTGTGACGACGAGAGACCTGTGGGCGGGGAAACGGAGTGATGAGGGCGGAGAGGATACGATAGCGGGAGAGGTGAGGAGCGGAGAGGAGAGCGTGCGGGCGGGCGAGCTGAGAGTGAGGAAGGCGTGCTTGCGCTGCTCGCGCTGCTTGCGTGGAAGCGAAGCCAGAGCGGGGACGCCGAGCCACAGCAGCCCCAAGAAGAAAGCTCACTCGCCGCACTCACCGACCAACACTGTCACCTGTCGACTCGCGCTCCTCCTCTCTCGAGCCAATCGAGGCGCCGCCTGGCATCAGTCTCCGGTCTTTCGGTGGGTCCGCGTGACTTTTTCCCTTAACCGCCTGGCGCACGGCCTGATTGGGTCCACCGAACACCGGCCTGCTGTGCCTGAGTCTCGGCTGGCTGGTTTGGCCGGGCAACAAGAGTCGAAAAGAAATTCCACTTTCGAAATGATTTGTTATTTATTGCCGATCTGACAGCTACCATGTTTTCGACTTCGACGCAGCGTTTCCGCGGATGGCTCGATCGCAAAACTCGGCTTAGCCGCGGCCGGCCCCGGCCCTCGCCCAGCTGATGACAGGTCGCGATGAGCTTGTCAGCCACCACCATCTGTGTCTCGGGAGCCCCTCGCATCCATCACATCCCTTCAGCTCGTACCGCAACTGAGCCATCAACGATTCACCATGTCGGAACATCCTGCATTCACCATGGCCGGCCTTTGCTCGGTGGGCGGCCTCATCGGTTTCGCTAGTAAGTATGCGCAGGACGACCAACCCTCGGTTGCCTGGCCCTGCTCGCTTGCTAACAGCGTTCTTGCTCTTGGACATCAGAAACGAGGTCGATCCCTTCGCTCGTGGCGGGCGTGGGCGTGGGTGCGCTGTACGCACTCGCTGCCACGCGCATCAAGAACGGCGGCGACTACGGCTACGAGGTCGCCGCAGGCGCCAGCGCGTTGCTCCTCAGCAGCTCAGCTCCGCGCTTCCGAAAGGGACCCGTCCCCATGGGCCTCACCCTCACCTCCGCCCTCGCCCTCGCCTACTATGGTAAAAAGGTGCGTATTTCAGTCCAGTCTTGTGTGTCGCCATATGCACATCAGAACCGGCAAAGCTCACCTCGGCCTCGTCTCCTCTTGCATCCCAAAACAGGTGTACGACTTCCGACAGTAATTACGCTCCGTCTCAATCAACCCAGCCCGTGTTCGTCTTGACTTGATCGCCAATTCAAGAACCACCGCTTCTCACGCAAAATTCGTGCCCTCGTCTGAAGCACACAGATGTGGTGAAAGTGTCCATACTGCTAATGCCGAAGCAATCCTCGTCGGGGCATGGCCGCGACGCGTGTCTAAGAATACAAGGCGGCGTCTCGCGGCGAGCTTCAGCGCGGCGCACATGCATAGTCGCCGGCTACGCGCGCTGAACCAGCGCTGGTCGGTGGAGGCGCCCCCCCCGAGCCGCTAGCGTTGGCGTTGTTCTGAAGCCAGCCGCCGTACTCTGGCGGAAGCTCGTCGACCACTTCTTCGTCCTCGGTATCGCTCGACGGCTGCGGAAGCGGTCCGCCATCCGAGTGCTGCACGACGCGACGCTGCGCCCGATTGTCTCGGCGCTCCTGTTGCGCCGACATTTGCGCTTTGCTCGGTAGCGAACTCGCCGAGTGGATCCCCATTCCGGCCCCCGTCGCGTACGGATGCGAGCCGTCGCCGCCCGATCCCGACGTTCCGCTGCGCTCGATTCCCGCGGCGCGCGACGAGAACGGATTCTGGCTCGAGTGCGAGTGGATCGAAGCATTGCCTGCGCGCGACGGATAGTCGTCCATCGGCGAAACCGCGGCAGAAGAGAGCCCAGCGGCACTCAGAAGCTCGCCGTAGCTCGGATTGGCCGACGATGGCGAAGTCATCTCCAGGCTCTGACCGTAGCGTCCGTCGGATGAGGCGCCATCGTGGCGAGGATCGTAGACAAACGGCGAAACGGTGTACGACTGTCCAGCAGGCCTACCTCCGTCGTTTGAGCGTCCAGCTGGACGAGCAGCGTCGCGTCGGGGATCTGCCGTTCCCCAGATGTCGTCGTCGTCGTCGCCATCGAGGTCGACGAAGCGAACCTCCTCGCTGCGTGCTGCGTCACGCTTCGTCTTCTTCCTCTTGCGGTACAGCAGGAATGCCACCAGCACGCCAATGACCGCGCCGAGCGCAATCGCACCTCCGATTGCACCTCCGGCAATCGCGCCCGTTGGATGTCCCGACGACGACTTTTGCGCGGCCGCATCAGTGGGGATGGCACCGCCAAGGTTGTTGAACATGGCGACGCTCGACGCGATAGGAAGAGGCGTCGAGAGCTGGTTGGGCAGCCGATAGTCACTGGCTAGGCAAGCCGGCGTAAAAGTGGAGGGCCCGACGGTAAAGATCTCGGAGGCGCCACCGCTGCCGTGACCCGAGGCATCACCGACGACCGTCTGGAACTGCGTGCCCTGGGCAAAGGGGACGAGGGTCTGGTAGACGAAGCTCGAGATGTTGAGCGTGTAAAGTTGAGGCACCTGGACCGAGACGGGAGCGCCGCCCAGAGGCACGAAGCTGATGGTGAAGGGGCGAGTGCCGCGGTCGCCGATATTGTACACCTTGACAGCGCCGCACTGGATCATGGTTCCGTTGGCCGGATCGGCAGCGTAGGTGAAGGCGGAGCTGCCGGTGTAGGCGCCGCAATTGGACGATGAACCCGAGGGCGTGGCTATACCCAGCGTCTGGGTGGTGTTGCCATCGCCACGGGAGTCACCCACGGCGACGGTGTACGAGGTGAAACCGGCCGAGGGTGGCGGTACGACGTACTGGAAGGTGATGTGGTCTGCGCCGGGCTGGTAGTCGCTGTTGATGCGGTAGGTCTGTACGAAGCCATGATTGGCAAGGATCCAGACGGTGTAGGGAAAGGCCTCTGGGACCGCCTTCCAGGTGACGTTGAGGGGCGTGCACTGCTGCGAGACGGTGTAGTTGAGCGGAAAGGCGAGCGTCGATGCAGGCAGACCCAGGCATGCGGCGACCGCCGCCAGCAGCACGGACGCAAGCCACATGTCGAGGCAGGAGGAATTCGCTATCCGAGCAATGCGCTATGCGACGACCTGACCGAGGAGCCGATGCGAGCGGGGTGATCGCAAGACGATTGAGCGACCTTCCAACCAGATTATGCGGCAACGATCGGCATGACAGTAGGGGCTGAAAGCGGAGGACCGTCTCGTAGTCGCGCTGCTGTATCGTTATCGAGCGCTCGTGAGCCCTGGCAGTTGCGAAGACGCAACGATGCGGCGCCTTAATGAGGCCAAAACGATTGGTACGGCCAGGCGAGTTGGAGGCAGAGGCGGGCGAGAGCCGAAGTGACACTCTGAGCTTGCGAGCCAGTCGTCGGGAGTTCCGACTCGCGCGGACAGGGTGCGAAGCGGTTTCGCGTGACCAAGGATGTGACTGCTCAGGCTTGCTGAGTGATTCACAAGGGTCGATGTGATGGTGGTTGCGATCAAGGGTAGTATGAGCGGTGCAGAGTCCAAACTCTCCTGACAAACGCCGAAAAGACGCGTTCTGCAACGCGGAGTGCAGCTGCTAACTGTAGCGAGTGCAGAGCAGTGCAGCTGGGCCCAGCCTCCTTTTTCTGCTGCTCCTGAACCCGACGCCACGTTGCGAAATCTCAGAGGCGAATCGAAGCTCGACAGCCGAGTGTAGCATGAGAAAAGCATCAACATCCGATGCCATGAATCCCCCGCTGGCTCCAGCCGGGACCGTTGACCAGATCAAAGTGCACCCACAGCATCCGCTCAGCACGTCCGTGTCGGTCCATCCACTCGCCCACTTTTGCCAGCAAGAAGGCACAAGGATCCCGAAAAGGGGGATCGCAAACGGCAATTGGCAGGAAACGGTTCCATTCTCTTGGCACAGCCGAACCAGGGCTCGGCATCGGCATTGTGATCATACATCTGCCCTCTTTGAGGCACGCGGTCCAGCTCTTTTTTGCAGCTAGTGCCCCAGCGGAGGCGAACAGCCAAGGGTCAAAGGTGACCGACAGGGCCGCAAGCATAGCTCGGCCGGGTCACGGCAATCTTCGGGTCGAATTAGTCCCTTTTCAGTTCACTGCATGCTCCGAGCTGCAGTCCCATCTTGCCCCGATGTGGAAGCCGCGGAATACCGCTCCAACGTGCAGCAGACACCATCTGTCGTGCACCGCCCTCTTTTGCGGTGCGCTTTGCATGCACAGCAACAGGCGCGACCGCAAGTGCCCCTCTCCATGCTCCCTCTTCTCATCACACCCTCTGACAGAGCTACCGGATCAAAATAGCAGCACAGTGCAATCGACGAAGACTGAATCTGACTCGAGATCGGCACGTGGCATAGACGCGGCGCCAACAGCATCCGACAGGCTCAAGCTGTCGCCGAGGCTGCAGCCGACGCGCTGGCTGAGATCTGGTTGATGCGTTGGCACACGTCCTCGAGCGCGCCTGTGACGCTCGCAATCTGCTGATCCCATCGTCGCGTCCACTTGGTGTCCAAGTCGCTCGTTCCTCCACCGCTGCCAGCTCCCTCATCGCCGCTCGCGCCGCCAGCGCCACTGCCACTGCCGTCGCCACCGCTGGCGCCTACGTCTTTGGTAGCGCTGAGCCCGCCGGCCGTCGTCTCGCCCTCCCCGCGTCGCTCTTGATCCATGAAGAAGAGCACGCCTCTTGCCCTCGCGCTCGCCTCGTCCGTCGACGATCCCACCTGATCAATCCAGCCCTTGAGACGCCCCTGCATAATCATCTTTCGAGCAATCTCCTCGGCCCCCTCGGGGCTCAGGTTGACCAAGGCTCCCAGCCCTGCGAGCGTGATGTTGTCGTACAGTCGCGACGCACTCAACACATTATGCTCGATCATGGCCCGGTCCAGCACCGTCGACGGCGCGTGTCGCACCGACTCGCCCGTCGAATCGCCCACAGCGATCGGCGCAGACGATGGCGCCAGCTTGGCGATCTGGTGCGGCGAGAGCAGCTTTTCAAAGTCTGCGATCTCGTCCGCACGGATCACCCGATCCAGGAACACCTTGGACAGGATCGTGTACTGAGGCAACGAAGGCGTGCGCTCGTCGCGCATCAGCGTCGCCAGCATCCGTGCGCGTTGCGGCCCCGCGGGCGAGAGGATGGACGCCGTCACCGCCGCCGAAAGCATCATGGCACGGTCGTCCTCGTCAATCTCGCCAACGTAGCTCAGCTCGTGGTACCGCACCGCCGCTTCCGCGAATCGACGTTGCGAGTCGTATACGCGCGCCTGCGACAGCCGGTACTGCAGTCCTAGCACTTTGGGCTCCTCCAGCTTGTCTTTCGCTCCCGCCGCACCAGAGCTGTTGTCGTTGCCACTGCCATCCATCGACCCTGTTTGAGCCGATGTGGTCTGCGCGGAAGCTTCCCCCTCTTGCTGCTGCTGCTGCTGCTGCTGTTGGAAATGGGAAGGTAGCGCGCCGGGTACGTTGTGGATGATCATGCTCGCACGCTTGAGGTACATGTCGGCTGCGACAGGATCATCGCCCTCGAGCAGCAGACGTGCGATACGCACGTAGATCGAGAGCTTGAAGTGGTCCGACACGTTGCGATGACCCGAGTCCAGCGGGATCGCCAGAAGCACGCGCGCCGCCTCGTTCCAGTCTTCGTCCGCCTCGAGCAGGCTGGCGAGCTGCATGCGCAGACTCGACGCTTGCTCCTCGAAGCTTAGCACTCTGGGCTGCAGCTGCTCGAGTGCATTCTCGAGCACCTGGCGTCGCGTGTCGCTGTCGGCGATTGCGGGCATGTTTTCGTCTTCGACATCCTGCATCCTATCCTGGTCACTCTTCTGTGCCTCGTGCTCGGCGGCAATGTGGCCAGCATGATGCTCGAGCGCCGTGAGAGCCTGTCGTCCCACAACCAAGCCGCCTCCCGTTGCGTTCTGCTCGCTGAACACGGCGTGCCGCAAATATGCCGACGTGGCTTCCAGCAGATCGGCGCGGCTAACCTTGCTCGCGGGCGCTTGCAACAGATCCATTATGAGCGCTTCATACGCTGCAGCTCGCGCATGATTTGTCTGCGTGGATGCGCCCTGAAGATTCTCTGTGAAAGATGCAGCCGACGACGCCATCTTGACGAGAGGTAGCAGAGCGCGTTCGGCCCAGTGACGAGGCACTCCACTACTCAAAGGTAGAGGCTCTGGGCGAGCGGGTACTGAGGTCGTGCCTGAGCTTCTGTGCACGTCGCGCAAGGGTTCCGACGCCAGTGACGATGTTGTAGGATATCGCAGGGTGTCAGCGGGATGGTGTCGTAAGTGCATCTTCGAGACGCATGATCAGGGTAAAGTGGAGTTTCCGACCACATGCACCGTGCGCGATTTTATCAATAAGTGTGTGAAAAGTACGATTCAACATTAGTAGCCAGAGCGGCCCCCTTGGTCCTTGACCCCTCGACCCTCTTTTCGTCTTTGCCTGATCCAAGTGCATGACACGGCAAGGCTGCACAGGCACAGACTCATTGAGACGTCGAACAAACATGGGTGTTGGAAGCGCATGTCGCGAATCAGGTCATTCGGTGCGACGTCGGCGATCTCAAAGGCCGCAGTGCGGGGAGCCCAAGCTCCGACGCCGGCACGATGGAATCCGTGGCATACCTGTGTTTAAACTCGTCAGGCTACAGACTTAGCCGAAGCCACGAGATGGGCTCGTTTGCTCAGCTTTGGGCTTGCTGACAGTGCCCATACGAGCCGAGTGGCCGCTTCTGCTCTCAGATCCGCTGGCATTTTTCGAAGGCCGTCTGACCTACAAACAGCGGGCGGTGCCGCCTTGTTGCCTCGTGCGTCTGCCATGGATCGAGAGTGGATCTAGACCCCACGTACGCCATTGCGAGGTCGGAGGCGCTGCCACACTTTGCTAGCTGACTCTTCTGACGACTGTACTCGAGGACCGACGTACGTTGCGCGCTTTCGGGACGCACGAGAAGGCCCGCTGCAACGAAGCGAGCCCGGCGGAGTGCGAATGACGTCCTAGCCGATATACAGGAACAGAAATCTGTGAATGTCAAGTGGCCGCGGCGGCGTACCGAGGGCATGTGTAAATCCATGGACCGAGTTCCAAGGCTTCTTGCGGCCACAGCGCCGAAGCAAGCAGAGGATGCAGAGCATACATACCCATCCTCGTGCGACTGTGCCGGGCCTTGTCGCAGAAGGTTGCGGCCTTCAGAGATGGCTTGACCAGCGGGCAGCGGCTTCGATACATCTGTGAGTGCAACCTGTCGAACGCTGTCATTCACACCACGCGGCATTTAGTCTGTTCAGGCTTTTTTGGATTCACAGATCATGTAGCGCGTCCGTCGTTCGGTCTGATCGTGCGCTCCGCGCTTAGGTTCGAAAGTAGCTGGCCAGGACTGTCATAGAAGGACCTCAGAGCTGCAGTGACAGAGAGTCAATATAGTATCTGCTGCGCTTGTTGCCGGACTGCAGCTTTCGTTCAACCTCAAGCGCTTCGCCAGGCGAGCTGTAGACAGGGCGCTTGCGGGGTTGGAAAGCGGTGTCTCGGGCTATGAACTGCGGCTGTGGATCGACGGGCGGCAGCGCATGGCGGTGGAAAGCGGCGTCTGCTTGAGCGTGCAAAGCCCGAATCTTGGCTTCGACAGCACATGCTACTCACACTCGAGGATGCCCGAGAAACACCGCCTCAGGTGACCTTGGTTTGACAAGCTGCCTCCAGTGTCTCTCATGCTCGATGCCCGACCCACTACGTTGGTTCAATATCTGTTTTAGCTGTGTTTCCAATTCCACGCTGAGCCTGCGTGCGCCACCGCCTTGCTCCTGCCAAACCACAGCGTGGCGCACATCTTGAGGCCCGTTCGTTGCAAAAGCATGCGGGCTCTGGACTCTGGCGCCGACCCCTGAGAGAAGCCTACCTCGTCTTTTCTCCTTTAAGCTGCAAAGCCAAGCCAAACCACACACGCCGGGATAGGATCCGGGAGCTGTACGCCGGTCAGATTGTCGCTTGCCAAGTCTCTTTCCAGGCCGACGTTCAGGGGTGCCTTAGAGGGGCAATGGACGCAGTCGAGCAGCTGCAAAATGTAGTTTTAGGGGTACAGTTAAAATCTCGTAGCACAATGACCCGGTGCTATTGCGATTCGAGCTTGGCTAGACGCCATGGGTTATGCAGCGGATGAGGATACAGCGGTTTCTCGGATCGGAAGTTGTGAGCGAGCCAACGTGGCTGCCGAAAGGCAACAACAGCTCAACTCGGCGCGCGGCTTGCGGGTTTGCGGCTTGGGACGTGGGGCTTGGGGCTTGGGGCTTGCGGCTGTGCGGGAGCGGGCTCGCTAAAGTCCAAGCGACTTCGGTCAACTGCATTATCCACCATGACGTCCTGATCCGGCCAGGGCAGCCTGATAACCGACTCTCGCTTGTCGCGCCGCGTGCAAATATGGTCTTTGGGCGGGGGGCCGAGCGGTGCTATACTATCTCGAAGCATGGGAGACTGACCCGAGCAGCAGATCTGAATTCATGCAGAACCTGAGCTTTAGAGGAGAGGCAGGAGCATGGCCAGCGAAAGCAGTGCCACCCTTGGCGGCAGCACTTTCGCTTCCACTTTGGCCCGTCGGCTGCTACCGAGCCAAGATCACGGAAAAAAC